CTTACTTGTTAACTCGGACATTGCCATCGAAAACAGCTTGACCAGAGGAATGAGCAACAATACACTTGTGGAGCTGCCGTGAAGAGCCTCGAGGATGGTCTAAGATAATTTTGCTGTGGAGATCAAGAGTCTGCTCATTGACACACATATGAAACGTGGTTAGCTCCGTGAGTGTATCAGGCCCGAGCTGCTGCACATGGAGATTGTGCCTCCCCAATCTCCCGCCCGTACTCACTTCTACAAGCTCATACTCACTCTTTGCCTCCTGCACAGATCATCACATCAACTATTCACTCTCTTAAACAATTCAGCATAAAACATTCCATTTTTCGTACTCAAACCACTCTTTATACACCCAAAAAACTTTAGTTAAGCTATAAACTTTTAACCGACTTGTCGAAAAGAGAATAACAAAACCAAACATGAGACTGATAAACGAGTACTCATCCTCCTCAACAATTCAATCATAAAGATTACAAGTTTTCCAACTCAGAAGACACAGAAAACTAAACTAAGAGACACAAAGATCTCTAATTTCATACTTGATTGATACCAAAACATCCAACACTAATCTAACCACAAGCTATATGAACAACGAGACAATAACAAAACCAACCTCAAGTAAACGAAGATTTGCTTGTTCTTCAACAACTAAAGATACCATTTTTTTAACTGAATAGACAAGAAGAGAATCAGCAAAGCTCACCTGTCTAACAAAACTCCACTTAATATGAGCAGCAGCCATGGATTCTTTCTGCAAATACGAATGCTTAACTTTCGCATTCTTTAGAACAACAACTTCCAATACCGGATTGGTCCAATAAAACCCTTGTTCGTCTTTACACACAAACTCCTCAACTATACCAATCTCTCCTCCTTCCTCAACTAACACAAAAACCCTAGGATTCGATACCGGTAACCGTTTCGATTCCCGGTCTCCCGTTTCTCCGGCGAAATACCTAAGATAGATCGGATTCTCTACCTTACATCCAGCCGGAACATAAATCACAGTCAATTCCGGTGCTCCCATGCCGTTAATCGACCAAAACAGATCACCGGAATCGAAATTACCGACGAAATCAGAAACCCGGTTCGTTAGCTCTTCCGGTAAACCGGAGAAGCTCCCGAAGTAAACCCCATCAGGCAAATCTGATTCACCAATCGTCAAATTGGAGACAAACCCATCGATAATCACAGCGTTTGGGAAACGGGTTTCCGACAGATTGTTCAAAATCTCCGAATTTCGTTGTTGGGTCGATACGGGTTCGATTTGGGAATATCTGATGAAGGATGTATCGGTAAATCGGAAAGGCTCGTCTTTTCTCGATGGCCATGGTGTAGATAAAAGGGTTTCGGCTGAAGAATCTCTGATTCTTTGGAG